ATTGCTAATTGCATATTAATACAATTATTAATGCCACGTGCTGGGCTTTGCTATTGCTAATTGCTAATTGCATATTAATACAATTATTAATGCCACGTGCTGGGCTTTGCTTTAAATTAATAATAAACCAGACAGCGCAGGAACTTTGTTTCAATAAAATCGCGGTGATAAGATCATCAAGTACGGAATTTACAATCAATTTTTGTTTTGTTTTATGCTCACATGAAAATATGCAGTGACTATGCGATTTACCGTGCAAAAAAAGTATAAGTAGCTTTTGTAGGCATACAGGGTCAATATATTCCAACATTTACTAACTCATAATTCTAAAGAAAAATAAAAAAGAACCTGTCACTCTACGTAACAACTATAAAAAAGTGTATTCAATCCATCTTTAAATAATCCACTGATACATACACACAAAAGCAAAATGTAGAAGTAAAATTTTGTTGCATTGTTATTTACATACCCAGTATCACCTAAGCCGTGCATGAAGATGAGCTGTAAAGTCCGAGACGTTTAGACACATTGTAGAAATGTTAGATAATTCCACACATATAAAAATACATATACATATAAGAATATTCATAACTAGGCAATTGACTTACGGTTGACGTATGTTTGGCGGTTGCCTCAATTATCACTGGCGCAATCGACATACTGTTGCTCTCGCTTAACCACAACAATAGCCAACTAACAGTTGTTACAAGTAAAAGTGTAGTTAACAAGTATCCTGACACTAACAAAAACAATTGCTTTCCTTCCACACGTCGTCGAATGTACACCTCAATGTTGCGTCCTACACGTCTTTTGCGTTGTCTTTTTTACTTCAAATCAATTGTTTAAAGTTGATAATGATTGTTGTAGCTACATACACATACAAATAGCTTGACGTTAAGAGTTATGTATACGAATTGTATATGTTTGTATGGACATGCAGTCAGGTACAATTCAATTCAATTAACACCAATGCACAGCAATTGTGCAAAACAATACCAAGCTCAGCATATAAGGTGACGGGATGATTTCGGAGCGACGTGTCTGCAACTTTAATACATTATATGTATTCAATTTATAAATTGTTATTGCATATGGCTACCTGACCTACCGCTGAATTTGTTTAAACAAAATTTTGATGTTAGAATTTCCAATGTTTATTGTTGTTATTGTGGACACGTACAAACTGCAATGAATAAAAATTTTAATATGCATATAATTAAAGTGTTATGCCACAGTAGCATAAACAGTGCATAAATGTACAGGTTATTGATTTTACTTTGGGGCGTCAGAAAGCGCAGTAATTTGACCACTAACAATTGCACGTAAACTAACTCTCAGTGGTCGAAAAAGCTTTAATATTTTTTATGTTTATTAATTCACCTTCGATTTTATATTTTTCTAGTGCAATGAGCGTAATATAATTTTACTAATCCTTCCCAAGTCTTTTCCTGCTACATCACCAAAATAATTTCTCTTACGACAACAGCAGTGGTTTGAAAACTTACCAACATGGTATAAGGGAGTAGCGAAAGTCTCATTCACAATAGTTTCGCCACCTCTGAGGTGTACGTTCACAATAAAATCAACATGGTGGCCATGGTGAATTAGGGTGGCGAGGGGCTAAAACGGGTTGCGCATAGCAGAAAACGCCTAAATAATTATTTATAAATATTTTAAATTTTGGTTATTAATTGATGTTTAATGCTAACAATATATAATATCATACCATGTTGATATAGGTAAATATGCGGCATATGTTTAAGCATTTTAAATAACTTATTAATGGGCAAACTGAAAATTCAATTTAACTATGAGTGGACGGGAAGAAATAACTATTGTAACAAAAATTTGATACTATAAGTAATAATAATTTATATAATCAAAAAAGCAAAACTTATCATTGTCATACAAGTGATAATAATTCATTTAAACAATAAAGCAAAATTTATCATTGTAATTATATCAAGAAATTTTACTAGTGCTCTAATTTAAGTATAGATTTATTTAATCACAAATTTTATTTACGTTTTATATATCAGCAATTAATAGTGGATATATGTACAATAGTTTATTACAACTTTTGACATACAAAATTACCATATTATTATATAGTTCTTAGTTTAGTTTTTAAATATATAGACTTCTAAAATAATATAATTTTTGAAGTTGCAATATCTTTATAGTATAAAATACGGTAGGCATATCAGGTAGTTGTCTCTGTATTTCAGCATGTAGCCATTATAATATGTACAATATTTTACATATAACTCATTACATAAATCAATTACCATATTGTTATATAGTTCTAAATTTAGTTTTCAAATATATAGACTCCTAAAATAAATAATTTGTTGAAGTTGCAATATCTTTATAGTATAAAACATTTTATAAGGGTATAAAATACGGTAGATATATTTCTTTTTTAAGAAGTATTATAAAATTAGCTTGCGCAACACTGTTACGCAATGCTCTATAGCAATACTGGCATTTGAATTTATTAACAACTTTTAGTCAAACGCATTAATACACACCTGCTTATTGATAAAAATTCTTGTGTGAGCAGTTTTATCAGGAGCAATATGAAATATTCTTTATTTTACGAAGATTGTATTGCAAATTTATAAACATTGCCCTCAATTTCGTTGAATAAGCATTTTCCGCATGCCGTTATTTGACATGGTTGCTTAATTGCATCTTAAATTTTTCTGTGGTGAATATTTATTAAGTTACCACAGTAAAAAAAAGGCATAAATATATATCGTAATTATTCTGAAATTTGCCAATAATAGCCGCTTTTTTAAGAACATATATTAAAATAAACTTATTTTATTTTGAAAACATATTAAAGTTTTACATATAATCAATATTTTTTGGACAACTTTTTCATAAATTAAGAGAAAATAGCAAAATGCTACCATTTTCCGATTAAAAGTCGGCCATCTTGGCTATCAATAGAAACTCAACCCCTAGGCGGACTTGACGTTTCTCCATGGACCCCTCTCAGCTGTAGCATTGCTTACATCCATCAGCTGATTCTTTCTCTACTCCCCCTTTACGATGCTTACCAATAACAGCGCAGACACAACCGCAATGTTGCCAACTCTGTATTTCAATTTCTGCAAAACTAACAGCGTAGAGCTGCCATTCCCAAGTTACGTTAAATTTTTCAACCAACAATTTTGTAATGAACTTTTTAAATGAAATTTAAATAAAAAATATTGAAAGAGAAAAAAACAGAATTTAATTTGACAGTTACAGAGAATTGAAAATATGATATTTAAAATATATTACACAAGTTCACACATTTATGGTTTTTGTACACGGATACCGAAAGCAGATTATTGCGTGCTGGGTGCTCGGAGATCGTGCTACCTGTGAAGGGAATTCGAGGCTATACACTATGAGAAACTTAAACTCTATATATATTATATACATTTTTTTCATTATAACGTAAACAGAGTATATTAAGATTGCCACGATGTTTGTAATACCCAAAAGGAAACGTCGCAGACCCTTTAAAAAATATACAGTTTATAAGGTTTCGATCTTAAATTTTGTACACATGCTTTTCTCTCCAAGAAGATGCACATTTATCGAAACCGCCGATATCGGACCACTATAGCATATAGCTGTCATACAAACTGACCGATAAAAATCAAGTTGTTGTATGGAATCCTTTGTAATTGTGAAGGGAAATACAGCTTCGGTGTAACCGAAATAAACGTTTTACCTAATCTAGCATTAAAGAAATGTATTTCATTATAGCTTTTTTATTGTAATTACTTTTATTTAGTGAATAAATGCATTATCGGCATTAGTAACTTCAATTTAATAAAACCTTAGACTCAAAAAGTCGTTTCATATGTATTAGTTTCCCGTAGTATGCTTTTAGAAAACCACATCCGCTGGAAACTCTCTTGACAGGAAATGGAAAAGAACATACGTTTACGTAACAAAACGAATAAATAAATAAATACTTATAATAAAGGTAATAAGAACTAAATCTAACATTTAAGCATTATTTGTTTAGTGTAATTTAGTATTTGTGTAAATATATGAAAAAGGGTACAGAAACAAAAACAATTAAAATCTTCCAAAAAAGTGGGGCTTTGCACTAGCAATGAAAATAAAATTTGAAATTGAAAAGCTAGCGATTATTGAGTGAAGTTCATCAGCAGCAAAAAGCTCCGCAAAACACATTTAGACTTTGCTTTAAGTTGTTTTGCAACTTTTTGTAAGGAAATAGTCGAGAAAAGAGCGCCGTTCGGACGTTTCCTAGCAAACCAAACGAATTTGCTATTTTTAAGTAAAAAATCAAAAGCCAAATCTCTGAAAATGCCAATACCAACAACAAAGTTAAACAATGACGTTGAAATGCCTATTATTGGATTTGGCACTTGGCGCGTAAGTAATGCCATATATAAATATTGCGTAAATGTATATTTATATTGTTAAAAAACATTCATTTCACAATAGAGCGCATGCAAATGAGCATATGTTTATATGTATGCAAGTATGAAACTGCTTTGGAGCTTTTGCATGTGACATTGAATTGCAATAGCCAGATGCATTTGCAAGGAAAAAGCTTCAAGGCAATTTTCAATGTCACTGCTTTTGCTTTACTTTTTAAGTTTTCGTTTATGGACACAATTGTATATTTAGATGCCAGCAAATGATGTGACGCGTTTGGTAAAGGAAGCCATCGATGTCGGCTACCGGCACATTGATTGCGCCGACGTTTATGGCAATCAAAAAGAGGTTGGCCTGGCAATTGAGGAGAAAATCAAAGAGGGTGTAGTGGTACGGTAAGTTTGAATAAATACCATTATAATATTTCAGTTTTTTGACTATTGTAATATTGTTTTTATCATTAGTAAGGATCTGTTTATCACCGGCAAGTTGTGGAACACAAAACACGATCCCAAATGGGTGTCTGCGACATGCCAGAACGCTTTGAATTTATTAAAAATCACTTACTTCGATAATTATCTCATACATTGGCCCACCGGATTTGCGGATAGCGACGAAAACTATCCAAAAGACAAAGATGGTAACACCATATATTCTGTCATTGATTATGTGGATACTTGGTGCGCCATGGAAGCTTTAGTAGACCAAGGCCTTTGCAAATCGATTGGGGTGTCCAATTTCAATATTGAACAATTAAAACGTGTACTGGATGTGGCGCGTATCAAACCCACCAATTTGCAAGTGGAATGTCACCCATATCTAAATCAAAGCAAATTGATGGATTTTTGCAGTAAATACAATATTGTAATAACGGCTTATAGTCCCTTAGGCTCACCACACTCGCCCTACGACAAGCCAGGTACACATAAACTTTTGCAACATCCGTTAATTGTGGAGTTAGCGCAAAAGTGTCAGCGAGCACCAGCACTCGTATTGCTCCGTTATCAGGTACAGCGTGGCAACGCCGCAATAACAATGTCCACAAAGCGTGAACATATGGCCGATAATCTCGATGTGTGCAACTTCGAACTAACTGATGCAGAAATGTTCAAAATTAACGGTCTGAATTTTAATGGACGCTACAATCTAATGCAAAAGTAAGTTCAATAAGCTAGTTACAAACTTATTTACATGCGAATTTTTCTTTCAATTATTATTTTTTTACAGTGCCAAAGGACATCCGCACCATCCATTTGAGAATGAGAAGAACTAGTCCAACTAATAATGCAGACAAAACTTTATAATGTACATACATACATATGTGACTCTGGATTATTTGGAATGCTTCTATAAATTCATTGAGATTATTAAATAATAATTAAATAAAATTATAATAACGGTATTTAGAATTTACCATGTTCTATTACGTTTTCGAAAAACAAATCGAAAACAATAAACAATTCGATACTACAAGTATACCCCTATTACGGTGTTCAACTGCACTCGGTTGAATCAGTGAACTTGTAACAATGAGAAGGTATGTTCAAATTTCTAGGAGACATTACTAGGAGTAGTAGATTGTATCAACTCTTTATGTTCGAACCACTTCCCACGGTCCCTTAATTTTATTGTAATGCTCCACGAGCTCAACAAATTTTTCACCTTTCTATTTGTTTGAACATATATAGTTATTATAATTCGAAATTATAAATAAAAAAATTCTTTTTACCCATTTTCCATTTTCTATTAATATTTTTAGCAGTTGACATTTTTTGATGCTCTAGTCAACCCCACTGGCACAGAGTTTTTTGTTTGTATAATATTCAGTTTTTCTTCGAATTCGATTTTCTGAAATTCAAAATTATATTTTTCTTATATCAGAAGTAAGTGTGGATGCAATTTAAAACAAGAAAACACGTTAACGTTGTAGCGTAACCATGAACAGGAATCTATGCCAAATTTCATGAAGATAGTTTGTCAAATAAAAAAGCTTTCCATACAAGAACTTTTGACCGATCTGTTTGTATGACAGCTATATGTATAGTGGTCTTATATCGGCGATTCCAACAAATGACCAGCTTCTTGGAGAGAAAAGGACGTGTGATCAAATCAATATCTCAAAAACTTAAAAACTAGTTTACGTATATACAGACAGACAGATGGACATGGCTAAATCGTATCAGCTCGCCACGTTGATCATAATAAGTTGTTATAGTAACATATATGTATATGTATATATATATATTATATGTATGTATATACATATGTATATTCCATATTATAGAGTCTTAGACGTTTCCTTCTGGGTGTTAGAAACTTCATGACAAACTTAATACTCGTACATGGTATAAAAAGTGTTTTTGAGAAAACTTACATAATGTCAGAACTTTTGAAATATGAAATATGAAAAAAAACATCAAAATTTTGTTCACACAAAATTCTCTTCTTCAAAAGGCAAGGCAAGCAGATAAACTAGCGCTTTACGGCATCTGAATTGGGCATCAATATCTCCACGCAGTCACAGTTCTCTCAGAACTCTACTACTAGGTTCCAGGTGAAATGTATGCTCCCTGTGCAAAAGCGTGTCTGCTGGATGATCGCGATGTTAAAACAAAGCTTGCCCGTACGGTGAAATTCTACAATGGTGTTAAAGTACCCATCGTAGGACTAGGCACTGCAAATGTAAGTGTAAATACAATAACAAATGGGATTAGTTAGATTTGAAAAAAATAGTTGCAATTTGACTTCATCTATAAATGTATGTATAATTATGGCATCTCTTCGCTAGTTAGAAGCGCACATTACAACGCGTTGTATAAAGGACGCTATCGATGCTGGCATACGGCATATAGACTGTGCGCCAATCTTTTGCAATCAAGAAGAGGTTGGACAAGCAATAAAGGAGAAAATCGCTGAGGGTCTCATAAAAAGGTAGTGCCGTGTTTATATATTTGAGTATATATACTATACTCTAATATATATGCCAATTTTTTAACAATTATTTTTTAGAGAACAGCTTTACATATCCAGCAAGCTTTGGGATTCACGGCACGGTCCAAAATGGGTGCGCCGCTCATTAGAGGAAACCCTAAAGCAATTGCAAGTAGATTATCTCGATAATTATGTCATGCACACACCCATGGGTTTCAAAGATGGTTTTGAAAATTACCCACGCAATAATAGAGGTGAAATCTTGTTCTCGGATGTCGATTATGTAGACACATGGCGTGTAATGGAGACTTTGGTGGACGATGGGCTTGTACGTTCAATTGGTCTGGCCAATTTTAATGAAGAGCAAATCGTACGCCTACTGGGAGTGGCACGTATACCGCCGGCAAACCTACAGGTGGAATGTCATCCGTATTTGACACAAACGAAATTAATGGATTTATGCTGTAACCATAATATCATTTTTATGGCTTGCAATCCAACCGGACCGAGTAAGAGGCATAGCAATATCGTACCACTTAAGAGTAATCCGAAAATCTTATGTTTGGTAAAGAAATACGGTAAAAACACTGCTGAGATATTAATCCGGTACCAAGTGCAACGCGGCAACGTTGTATTGCCGCGAACAACTCAAAAAGACCATATGATACAAAATGTAATGATTGAAAGTTTTAAACTATGCCCGAAGGATTTTGAAATGCTTGAATTGATGAATTGCAACTTCCGAAATAATACGCTTGCTTAGTAAGTACAATAACGCTAATGTTTTTTTTTTTTTGAAAGAGATGAATAAATTGGGTATTTACCTCTAGTTATAAAAATTATTTTTCCAGCGCCTCTGGACATACACATCATCCTTTCGAAAATGATTGCCTTTGAACTTTCACTTTGACTACGAAAATATTTGGAGAATTCCAACCTTCGTTTATACATTGAACTATTTTCAAAAACTGAATAGTATACAAATTTAAGAAAAAGAAGACAAAGAACTCAAAAGTCAATCAAAAACTTAAAAATTTTTAGTTTTTCAAAATTTAATTTTTCGTATTTACCAAAATTGAAACTATACCAACTTAAAAAATAAAATGTTAATATTTATAATAAATTGACTAACAAATAATTTGTGGCATATTTTCTAAATTAAGAATGAAAAAAATTAACAATAATTCATTAAAAATAATAAGTAAAATTCCTTTTCGGCAATATTCTGGTGAATACCGCATATTTCATTTTACAGGATTTGGGTGAGTGTTGTACGCCTGTCAAACAGCTGATTTAAAAATTCTACAAATTTTGTTAAATAATTTTAGAAACACACCAAAGAATGATAGATGCGGGGAAATTAGGAAATTACTAATTCCTAAAACACTTGGAGAAGCAAGTAAAATAAGAGATACGCTAACATCTAAGGACAATGTGCCAAAAAATGCAATAAAATCTGCGACATCTTTGAAAAATTTAACAAACACCGCTTTGCTGAAAAGCTCTTCCATTACAACAATAACTTCGAAAACACCAAATGAATGTGCTGAAAAAAAACTTGAGAAGAAATCTGACAAACTCAAATGTTTAAGGCCAGTTCCACGTATAAAGTTGGTTGACGAACCACCAGACGACTGCAATGTTAGAAAGGCCGAAATGCCAACCGTTAAATTGCGTGATGGTTATGTAATGCCCATGTTTGGACTTGGTACTTGGGGTGTAAGTTATGATTGGTTAAACAAGAAAATGCCAAGAAATACAATCTTATATAATAACCAGTGATCAATTACTTTTATTTAAAATAATTTGTGTATTCAAGGCACCAATTATTAAAGCTGAAAAAGCAGTTAAGCATGCTTTGAAAGTGGGTTACCGCATGATTGACTGTGCGCATGTTTACGAAAATGAAGAGGCTGTTGGTAAGGCAATAAATAAATCGATTGAAAAGTGCATTGTTAAACGGTAATTTTTTAACAAACAGTTATATGTATGTATATACTTTGCCACAATTTTATAACAAAAAAACTTTACTTACAGCGAGGAGCTATTTATAATAAGTAAATTGTGGAATACCTTTCATGAGCCCCATTTAGTGTTGAGTGGCTGCCAGCAATCTTTGTGTGATTTAAAATTATCGTATCTTAACCTATACATCATACACTGGCCTATGGGTTATAGAGCTGGAGATGATCTGATACCCTATGATGCATGTGGTCGCGTGATTGGCTCCCGTGTAGATTATACTGAGACATGGAAAGCAATGGAGGAGTTAGTTGAACGGCGCTTAACACGGTCCATAGGCCTTTCTAATTTCAATAAGAATCAAATTGAGCGTATTTGGAAAATTGCTAAAATAAAACCAGTTGTCAATCAGGTTGAATGTCATCCATATTTAAACCAAAAACGTCTGAAAGCTTATTTAAAGAAAAAGGGAATTGTACTTGTTGCGTACAGTCCATTGGGAGCGCCAGCTAGACCCTGGGTGAGGAAGGATGAGCCAAAGGTGTTGGATGATAATCTGGTAAGATTACTTGCAGAAATATATCAATATTTTTACTTTATGTGAATTTTCAATTAAACATTACTTTGATAGATTAAGACAATAGCTTTTAATACTGGACGCACACCGGCGCAAGTTTGCATTCGTTATCAAATACAGCGCGGTAATCCGGTCATACCGAAATCAGTGACACCAAGTCGTATAGAGAGCAATTTTGATGTGGCAAGTTTTGAATTGTCTGATCAAGAGATGAAAATATTAGATAAGTTAGATAGAAAACTGCGTTTCGTGCCTTTATCACAGTAAAACTCATCATATGGTGAAAAATTCTTTAAACTAATTTATTATTATCTATTACAGATTATCAAATCATCCACACTATCCATTTCATGACGCCTTTTAATATACCTTTCACTAACAAATACTTATTTCAAAATTACTAAATATTACAAGGAATATTTATGAAATTCTTACTTCAATAGGTACAACATTTTATTTCAATCGCATAAAGTACTCTTCGGGGTGAAAAAAATTTATTAAGTAGTATGAAGCAATAATAAAGGTACAATTTCGAAAAAATAAGCATTCACTGTCCAACAAACGCGAGGGGGATGGTAGGATTTTCAGTGATACAAATTGTAAAATTGAAATTTTGCTGATTCTTTTCAATTTTACTGAAAAAATTCAAATTCAATTTCATTCATTTTTATTTTCGGGCATTTGCGGTAGGAATTCTATATGAAAACCAAATGTGGTTTACCAGGCGCACAGAAAAAATAGCGCGGCGCAGAGTTATGAACGAACGCACTTTGCTTTGAAGCAGCGCACGTTCCTTATGAATAAATTTGTTGTCGTTGTAATATAAAATACTTAGAAAGTATGCCCCGAGTTCGCTTGAATATTATTGGCCGATGATGGTGCGTCTACGTTTTTTTTGTCACTTGCGCGAGTGTTTGATTTTTTGCGAAAGACATATTGATGGACATACATATGTACATATGTGTACATATATGCAAATATATTTGGACATGCGAATGAAGGAAGGCAATTTCAAGAATATTCACATATAGACATATGAACATTGAAGCAAGTAAACAACAATAGCTGTTTGAGTTCACAGATTAGACAAAGCAGCATGAATATTGTCTGTGATGCTGCTTGTATAGCTCACTTCCTTATTGCAATGAAATGTTTTGCCTAAGTTCAAATCCTATCATATTTTTATATATTATACTCTTTTTTATTTCTATAACTCTTTTTTATTAAATGATATTTGAATTCTATTTTAGTATTATTTCCCTCATTATTTATATTTTCTTGTCGGAGGTCAATTACTTTCGTTTTTATTATTTCAATTTTTGTTTATGCGCATACCAATGAACATCTGTGCATATGTATGTATATACATTTTGCTTATAGAGTGGTGTAGTTCGTTGCGTACCCTCATAGGTGTGGTGACATTTTATTTTCGAACTTGCGCGTTTTCGATGTTCCTCCATCGTAATTAACATTTTAGAACAGCTAACATTTGCTCCTTCTCTATTCATCAACATTCTCTGGCAAAATGTATATACATATATGTATGTATATGCACAGATGTTCTTTGGTATGCGCATAAACAAAAATTTAAATAATAAAAACGAAAGAAATTTACTTCTGACAAGAAAATATAAGTAATGAGGGAAATAATATGAAAATAGAATTAAAATATCATTTAATAAAAAAGAGTTATAAAAATAAAAAAAGAGTATATAAAAATATATGATAGGATATGAACTTAGGCAAAATATTTTACATTGCCATAAAGAAGTGTGCTATACAAGCAGCACTACAGACGATATTCAAACTGCTTTGTCTAATCTGTGAACTCAAACAGCTATTGTTGTTTACTTGCTTCAATGTTCATATGTCTATATGTGAATATTCTTGAAATTGCCTTCCTTCATTCGCATGTCCAAATATATTTGCATATATGTACACATATAATATGTACATATACATATGTATGTACCTCAATATGTCTTTCGCAAAAAATCAAACATTCCTGGAAGTGACAAAAAAACATAGACGCACCATCATCGACCAATAATATTCAAGCGAACTCGCGGCTTATTTTCTAAGCATTTCATATTACAACGACAACAAATTAATTCATAAGGAACGTGCGTCTGCTTCAAAGCAAAGTGCGTTCATTCATAACT